AGTAATTCTGAAAGTGCTTGAGCATCACTTCAACACGTGTGAAGTGTGTGCACCACCGTAGGAACAGTGGATTCATGTTTTTATGCATTTCTGTATACAAAGCATAATAATGTAAACGTTTTAAATACTTCCAATTACTCTGTTAAATTCACCAAGCAGATACTTCCCGTTCTCTTTAGTAGTTTGCTCCTTTACTGTCTGTATAAAAACTCTATCGTTTCATTCTTCTCCCCTCTGACAGAGTGAAAGCAGTAGCAGCAGCAGTGTGTCCACCATGTTGGTGACCCAGGACTATGTGGCAGTGAAGGAGGATGAGATCAGTGTGGTGCAGGGTGAAGTGGTCCAGATCCTGGCCAGCAACCAGCAGAACATGTTCCTGGTTTACAGGGCGGCCAACGAGCACTGTCCTGCAGCAGAAGGCTGGATTCCTGGCTTCGTGTTGGGACACACCTCATCCTCCGTCACATCTGATCTCTCAGAAGGAACCATCAAGTAAGAAGAATCGAGGCAAAAGTACACCAACATTGAATAACCCATTGAATTAACACACATTTTTAATGAATGTTGTTTTTTAGGAAATCCCTATCATGGCATACAGCGCTTCGCATCCGTAGAAAATCAGAGAAAAGAGACAAAGAAGGAAGGAAGTTGGAGAACGGCTACCGTAGGTCTCAGGACGGCTTAGCCAACAAGGTCTCTGTCAAGGTACGTAGTTTTATCAGTTGTTGTTCTAAATAAAATGTAACTATTGTAACAGAAACTAGTGGAGAAATGAAAGGATTCTAACCTGTATTGTTGCATTCTCTTTTCAGCTTCTCAATCCTAACTTCATTTATGATGGTAAGTCCAGGTTATTGGGGTTTTTTTTTTGCCAAAGATGTGTCTGTATTCTTCTGCATGTTCCGACATTTATTACTAAATATTTAAGTAATAAAAAAAACCCTGTATCTTCAGCTCCTCCTGAATTCCTCATCTCCGTCAGTGATGTGACATGTGACAGCGGTGACAGTGTGACTCTCAGATGTAAAGTGTGTGGTCGACCTCGAGCAACAGTCAGCTGGAGAGGACCTGACAACAACCCTCTCAGTAACAACGGGCACTACAGCATCACATACAGGTGACAAGATGTCTGTGTTTGTTCTCAGTCATCAGGTCTGTCAGATTAACCTCTGCAGCAACACAGAAATACATGACGCTCTGTTCCTGAAATGCATTTTACATCATGTGTTTTGAAGGTTTTTGTCTCTGTCCTTATGTGTCCAGTGAGACAGGTGAAGCAGCCCTGCGGATCCTTGGTGCGTCTGTGGACGACAGTGGTGTTTACACCTGTGTTGCCACAAATGTTGCCGGTTCTGCTACTTCCTCTGCCAGCCTCAGAGTCTCAGGTGAGGTCCTCTTAACATTTTTTTTTACATAAAAAAAAACAAACAATTCTTTTATAGACGCCATAGTTTTAAAATGTCAAATTCAAACACTTAAAATGCAACAAGCAAATTCAACAATGAGACGTGTGTGTGTTCTCAGGATTTCCTGATGATGGCAGTGAATACCTCTGGAAAGGCAGCTTTGAGTCCCACTACACAGAGATCACTGAGCTGGGAAGGTAAGAGTGTCACTGTACTGTATGACTCCATCAGTGCATTACTGTTTACATAAATAAATTAAATTATATTTTTTTTACTGGGGAGGGGGGCAATTCCCCCCCAAAATATTAATATATTATAATATTATTGTAAAATAGTGCTTTGAGACATTTCTTGTACTGGGCATCAAATAGTGAATTTTGCACAGTATGTAGAAATCTATAATATAATATTAAATGTGTGGGGCAGTGTTTTTTTTTTTGTGTTTACAAAAAAATAAGTCTTTGACAAAAGATATATAAAAGATGGCACAGACAGATATACTTTAAAAATGAAGCTAGTAAACTATCAAAAATAATAAAGTGCCATGACTGACCTGACCTGTGTAAATGATGTGTGACAGAAAAAAAAGTGTTCAATAAAGCACCGTTGGGTTAATAATATCTGTGCTCTCTTCTCTCCCAGGGGTCGGTTCTCAGTGACTAAACGCTGTGACCAGTTGGGAAGTAAACGCACAGTCGCCGCCAAACATGTCAACAAGAAGCTGCTGCGGCGGGAGCAGGTTCTGCAGGAGGTCAGACTCCTCCAGACTGTGGATCACCCCAACCTGGTCAAACTGCTGGACACGTACGAGACCGGCAACAGCTACGTGCTCGTACTGGAGATGTAAGTTCAGAAGTTGGACTGAAGTAACTGTTAGGACTAGAAGTTATTATTAAATGGTATCAAGGATGTACTACTTTGTTCCCAGGGCGGATCAGGGTCGGTTCCTGGACTACATAGTCAGCTGGGGAAACTTGACTGAGGAGAAAGTCGCTCTCTACCTGAGAGACATTCTTGAAGCTCTTCACTACCTGCACGGCTGGAGGATAGCACACCTCGATCTCAAAGTAACCTACAGATTATTACCTCGCTGCTTGTAGCACAATTTTCTGATGTACTTTTTTTTAAAATATGACCTAACTAAATCTGTTTTGGGGTTCCTTGCAGCCTGAGAACATTGTTGTGGAACATGCATCTTCTCAGCCGGTGGTGAAGCTGACAGACTTTGGTGATGCCGTTCAGCTGAATCCTCCCTCCTCCCACATCCACCCTCTGCTGGGCAGTCCGGAGTTCTCTGCTCCTGAGCTGGTCCTGGGTCAGCCCGTCTCGACACACTCTGACCTCTGGAGCTTAGGTCTGTGTTTATTTATTTTGTATTTTCTTTTGCTTTTGTGAATACAGTATACTATTGTTACTATTTCTGGATAACTTTTGCTGTCCTTAGAAGGACAAGGTAAGACTTCATGTATTTTTGCCATATGTTTTGCGAGATTTTGTTAACATTATCTAAAGTCACATCAGTTTTTTTTCTCTAAATGTTAGCAGGTTTTGCTAAACGTTTGGCTAATTTGGGTCTTATTTAGTTCTTTAAGTATTGTACCTTTAGCACATTTCTTTCTCTTTTTGTCTCTACCATTTATATAATTTCTTTTCAAATTTTGTTTTAGTATATTGCACGAATATACCCAGTCAAAACCATTGTATGTGTAAATGCATTTGGTAATTAACACATAACTTGTGTTTTTTTTTATTGGACAATAATGGGCAATCGTTTGATCATGTCTGCTGTGGTAGAATAATTAAGTGATTATAGACGTGAGATGCTTTCAAATATATAGATTTAGACTGACATCCTGGATGATTCGCAGGCGTGTTGACCTACGTGATCCTGAGCGGCGCGTCTCCTTTCCTGGACGAGAGTTTGGAGGAGACTTGTCTGAACATCTGTCGTCTGGACTTCAGTTTCCCCGAGGACTACTTCCAGGGTGTGAGTCCAGCGGCCAGAGACTTTGTGCGGCTGCTTCTTCAGATTGAGCCGGAGCGCCGACCCTCTGCGACATGCCTCCTGCAGGAGCCCTGGCTCCAGCCCCACAGAGGAGTGATGAGCAGGGACAACGGACACAACAGCTTCACTCAACCACACCAGAATCACCTGGACACCTCCAGACTCATTTCCTTCATCGAGAGACGGAAACACCAGAACGACGCTCGGCCCATCGGCTCCATTAAATCCTTCCTGCAGAGCCGGCTGCTCAACCACATGTGAGAAGACGCGCGGTCAAAGCTGCTGAGATATTGACCAGAGAGTTGTCCCACGATTTCCTTTTCCCTCACTTGACCACAAATGTCCTGCTGCTGCTGACTGACTACTCTGCTGATGAAACAAATTTGACTCTTCCCACCGACTTTCCTTCTCCTAAATCTTGGCATATCATCTTTATGCCGGCACAACTAAAACAAACTGCTGGAAGCCGCTTGAGTGATTCCACTTTCTGACTTAGCAGGGAAAAAAAATCAAATAAAAACAGAGCTTTCTCAACAAGTCAGTGTGAGCAAGCCTCACGCTCTGGACAGTGTTAAACAGAGAAACTAGAATACTGTATGATAAGAGTAATTCAGGCTGCTTTTGGTTGAAGACATTACAATGTTTTGGGTTTTTTTGTAATGAGAGATTACTTTTTGTAAACGAAACCATGTACAGCGAGGAAACAGAACAGTCTCTATTCATGCCTTTGAGGAGAATCAAAGGTAAAGTGAGTGAGCTGAGAGAATTCTGAGATGTGTGAACAAAAATCTAGATGAAGACCAAAATCACGTTTTCCACAAACACCTTGTAGTTAAGTTATGTTCAGTGCAATAGTTTGCTTCTGTCTTTACGTCCCGGCCCGTTTGGTTTTGAAGTGTGAAGTCACCATTGAACGATAGTGAAAATGTGTTTTAACCTGCGTTTGCCTTAGTTGTAAATAATGTACAGTCTCTCTGCCTTCCATTACCATTTCAAAGACGTTTTCAATAATAACATTGAAAAGAAGCTGTTTATTTTAATGAGCTGCGGTTTGTGGAGCTACAGTTGGGGATAAAATGATTATTATCCATGATGTATGTAATTTTATTAGTTTAAATGCAGCATTTTGGAGTATTTGGGCTTGAGTTACCAGGTTTATAGTTTGTTTGATGACAGAAACAATGTTTTCCAAAACTCCAAAAAAATACTAAGGTCAGAATTCTTAGTCCCATTGATCCTAATAGTTGCTTTTACACCATATTTGGATTAAAAGGAGTCGTGCATTGGCTTTTTTAAAAGGTGACCGACAAATATTCGACGGCTAGATCTAAATCCAATTCCAATTCTAGATCTAAATCCAATTCTCGAAACGTTTTTCCCTTATCAATTAGATAATTGTTTCCCAAAGACTGAGTCGCGAACCTCAGGTAGATCACAAGAGGGTTTTTTTTGGGTCGCCTCGCATCATGTTTCCCAGGAGTTTACGAGTAATGTCTATTGACTTGGGTTGTGAAGGTTTGTGACTTTTAAAATATGGGTCCCCAGAAAAAAGGTTTTTGGGAAACACTGAATAAGCACTTTGTCTAAAACTATAGTTAAACTTAAACATTTAGAGCATTACAGTGTTAACGCTAATGATTGGTTCAAGCGATAATTTCTACCTTAGTGATTTTGAAGTTTTGTGAAATATTTTGTTTCCGTCTGTGAATAAATCAGGATCAGCTCCCAAAACAACGTTAGCTATGTTTAGATTTGTTCTGACCTAGGTTAAAAAAAACAACCTGGAAAGAACTGACTTCCTCCAGTAATTTAGTCCCCACCTGTTCGACATCCTGCGAAGCCTCGGTGCCCCCGCCCCAGATATTCACTCTGAACAAACCGCTGATAGAAGTGCACTCGTAATTTGCATCGATTCCCATGTGCAATGATTGTTGCAGCTTTAACGTTTATGCAACTATTTATGAAGACCTGTGTTGTAGCCGTATTCTTAAAAAGGCATGTACGTACCTGGTACTGCAGTAGTTGTCTGTATTGTGTTACCTTTTATGTATTAAGTTCAGTATTAAAATCTAAAAAAAACGCCACCGAAAAGGGGGTGTTTGAGAACTAGTGTATAAAGATGTGTATCTATTAAAATATACATAGGCACTTATGCTTTCATTTGGTCATGATTTTGCTTTTATTTTCCGTAACTATACCAAAGTTAACGATACTTTCTGTTGATTATTAATGTGTTGTTATTTTTTCTTTCTCTTTTTTCTTTATGTTAACTTATAAAAGAGCACACTGAACCTAGACGTACATGTGTTTACACAGGTTTAGTCTGGCTTTATTTATTCTTACTGTAAGGACTTGTTAGGTGTTCAAATGCTTCAAAGAGCCCCCATGTTATTTTAAAGCTGTTAAAGTGTTTCTGCTGTGAGAATTTGTTTGGCTTTTGTAACTAGATGCTGTTGTGTGTGAATAGATTCTTGTTCTTTTTCTCCGTCGGTCATTCTTACCAAGCAATAGATCTGGAGGATGCTCACTGTGGCCCTTTATTTGAAATGTTTAAGAGTGCATTAAAACCTCCTAGGAGACACAAGGACCTTCAAACGCCAACATTTAAAGGTCATCATCGTCATCAGCTTCTTTAGGTTTCTGCCGATAAAGACTTCCAGTTATTTGGAATCTTTGGATGAGCTGTTGTCTTTAGGTTAAGAAGTTATAATTACTGTCTTTATCTAATAGCCAGTAATGTGAGGAAGGTTGTTGAAACAAAATGTAATGTAACTATAAAAATCTTTGATGTCTTGATTTTCGTCAGCTCTCGTTGGTTCTCCCCTAGTTGGAGTCTCTCATTTTGTGTTGTTTTTTTTTTTTTAATTATTATTTATTGGTTTTAAATTCCGATTTTCCCAAATTCATTGCCAACATCTTAACTTATGAAAAGGAAAAAGAAAAAATGTCTTTGGGAAAACTCGCCGTGTTCATGATGTAAAGTTGTACAGAGAGGGTCGGGGCGGTTCGGCCCACAACCAGGATGTAAACCTCATACCTATGTCCTATTTTAAATACACATAGAAAAAGACTGCAGCGATGCCATTTTGAATGTCTTACTCTGACTTTATTTTTCATTTTGCATGTATATTTCTTTGTACAGAGGTTCTGTGTTTTACATGTTATTCTGTGTTGTAAATATTTTATTTGGTCCTGTTATTTTGCCATTAAACGTACAAGAAGCAGCTGGACGTCCTGGAGTCTCTGTGCACCGAACACAATGACCTAAGTCAGTACTGTTTTGAAAACAAGAGGAGTTCTCCTTTAAGAAGGAGGTGCCAGGGGAGCAGATTAGAATCAGGTGTGTGATCAGGAGGAGCAGCAGCAGGAGTCACAGAGGAGGTGAGTTCAGTATATAAAGCAGTCCAAATGAGGTTCAACCACACATTACTTTAAAGCCTCTGCAGCTGTTGTCAATCAGGCTGGTTGTTCTTGATTTAATTCAAGCCATAAAAATATTTTAGAAAACAAACATGGCTGCATTACTGACATTAGAACCCCTGTCGTTTCTGTCTGTTTCATTTAACGCTCTCTTGTATTTGATCAACTTTCCTCTAATTGTTTGTTTTTTTTTTACAGTAAAGAAGGCCTGACATTGCTGCAACATGTAAGTGATTTTGTTTACATTATTTATTTACACAGCTTCAATTTGTAGCAATAGTTTTAACATATGGCAATGTCAACTGTTTGACATAAATCTATGATTTTCATGTTAAAAAACTACAAGGAAAAATATTTCATGTACAGAGCATTTTGTTACATTAAAAAAATAAGTCAGGTATATTTTATGCTACTTCTGATGAGTGTGTTCCCGGTTCGGCTACACTTGTGAGAATTAAGCAGAATATATAGATATATACAATATAAATGGTATGAATAAATAAAGTAATTGTACAGGGTATACATATTTGTACAGTATATAATACATTTACAATATATATGTAAATTTTATATGAAATATAACATAAAATAATGCAGTGCTGTGTATACAATATACACAGCACTGTACCTTTTTTAAAGGTAGG